AGCCTGTTTGTGCTTTATGGGAGAAGGGAGGGCTTCTCTACAGTCATTCAAATGCATTTTCTGCTAATGTTGTACAATCTCCTTCCAACTTTTGAATCTCCTGGCACATTTTTTTGCTCCCTATTGACCTCATCTTCATATAAAGCATGACTTGGAGAAAGAGAAAACAGGTGGAGGCTCAGTTTCCCATTCTGGCCATACTGTTTCTTCCCACCCGGCTGCCCTTCTTCTCCCCCTTCCCTCCCCTACTTCAGTTACTCAACAAAAAGCAACAAGTGAAAAACTAACCAGGGAAATGCCTCACAAAAAAACATTCCATGGCACCCTCTCCCTAGCGCACACACAAAAGCCAGCCTTAGTGATAACCATGCCTTAGTAATAACCACAGCCATCCAGCAAATCCTAAAAACCCAACATAATGACCATAGAAAAGTGTGAAATGCTAAACTGTGTTATTCAGTTAGTTCTTGGCAAAACAGTTTTAACATAAACAGGTTTGACCTCTGATTAGAAATATGCTTTTTTTTCCCCTTTTCTTTTTTTGTTGTTGTTCTTTTTTTCTTCTCTTTCTCCATTTTCTTACTGAAAGTGAATTATATTCAGAGCTCTCTGGTGCATAGATAAATGAGAGCAAGCATATTTTTAACTTGATTACACTCCACAGTGATGTATAGAGGCACATAGCTACAGTAAGTGATTCCATGAGGAGAGAGGGGGAGGGAGGGGAAAGCCCTCCACGGATATGATAAGGAAAGCTGGGATGAATTGTGGGCTCTGTTCTCTGTTATCCAAGGGTGGCTAGCTGCTGCTGCACTAAAGGCCTTTATTCCCTGCCTGTGGGAAAGTGGTGGGCGAAGGCTGTGTGTTCTCAGTTACACTGCACATGCAGATTTTAATTAGCTGGATTAAAAACAAGACCGTATCATGTCCTTTAGCAGCATTCTATCTAGAAACAAAAGATTTTCTTTCCTGGCTTCTGCAAGCAGCACAGTAGAGCATAAATTAAAAAAAAAAAAAAAAAAAAAAAAAAAAAAAAAGGTCATGGCAGTTTAAGATGAAAGGTCACACATGATAGAAGCTCTATGTGAGGGGGACATAGTGTTTATCTCTGTGATAAAGGAGCCCTGTCCAGGCAGGTCAGCACAACATGCCTCAGCAGTAGGAAAATATAAACATATGGGGTAGATAGATGGTGGAATGGGGAGTTTGGCAAAGCAGGTTCAGAAGTGGAAGTAGAGAGGGGAAAAAAAAAAAAAAAAAAAAAAAAAAGAAAAAAGATTTGTTAGAGGGAGAATATAAACTGAAAGGATCCAGCTTTAAAATACACAGCGAGGGTCAGAAAGAGCCTGAGACAGAGCCAGGGGTGATGGCTGCATAGCATTGCTCAGCACCTGTGCATTGTGAACAAGTGCCAGTCTGTGCTGGACACTGCATAAGGGGCACCAGCCCTATCTGCACAGCCATAAGGTGCTGATAGGGCTGGGCACTGCCTGCAACTCTGCCCACAGAAAGGGAGGGAGATCTCAGCCCTGGTTCACGCCTTGAGTCTCTGCCTAATCCCTAAGCATTCCCACGCTGGAAGATGTCTGGGTTGAAATTCTTTTGTTGTTATTTGGGCCACTACAGCTAGCGTTGATTTTGTTGTTTTAGAGCTGAGGCCCAGACTCACCCCCAGAGAAGACCAAAGGAATCTGCACATACTTATAAAGGAGTTAGCAGCTCTCTAATCCATAGCCTCTGAGGCTTTGCCCTGGAATGCACTGAGCACTTTCTACACCACCGATATCAGCGTGAGGGACATTCAAGTCCTCTTGGTTCCTCTCAAGATCATGCTGCATAAATAAACACATACTGGCCTTGCAAGCCTTAGCTGATGCAATAGTCTCTGTAGGTCTGAACAGAGTCACTGCCATATGCAAGCAACCACAGGAGAGTGCTTCAGAATTAGGGGCAACAAAGCAGAAACAGGGAGCCAAAGGAAGGAAATCAAGTGGTTCTCTTCTACTTTGCTGAAGTGCATTCCAATTCATAGAATCACAGAATCATTTGAGTAGGGAAGGATGCTTAAAAGTCATCTAGTCCAACTCCCCTTCACTAAACAGGGACACCTACAGCTACATCTGATTGCTCAGAGCACTGTCCAGACTGGCCTTGAGCATCCCCAAAGAGGGGGCATCCACCACCTTTCCTGGTAACCTGTTCTAAAAGTCCAGATCAGAAAATAATAAAAATAATTATACATATATATATATATATATATATATATAAAAATTTATACGTTAATTAGTTTTATTATTTCTTCATAACACTTTCCTTAAATAAGATTCACCCACGTGTACGTTGAGCTCCATAGCCTCTTTCATGATCCATGAATAGGTCAATTAAGAAACAGAGGCTTTTTAACCTAAAAGGAATATTGAGTGAAAGCCCACAATCAAGTTCTCATGGTTCAGCATGGTGTTACACACCAAACGATTGAATTAATTGACAACATACTCATACCCTGTAGAAAACCCAAATTGCTGAAATCAGTACTTGTCAGCTTCAGTAATTCAATCATATGTCTGAGCCTCAAGAAAAGTAAAGGCTAGTGCTAGAAACCAGAAACCTTCTGGATAAAACAATACTGTTTTTCATTTAGAGCAGAAATTTGGCATAGTAGTTACCTAACTCACAAATTGATAATACAATGATTAAAACATCTCCATTCTGCTGCTGCTGAGATCACTGGAAAATCATGGTTTAATTCAATACACGCGGGTCATTTCTTAATACTGTGTGACTTAACGTAATCATTTTATATTATGAGCTTTTAAAATCAACTTGATCTCCACTACCATTTATCTTTAAAATAGAAAAGAAGATAATAGCACGAATTACCTGATTCCTACTCATACTGCTGGATGCAGAAGTACAGCATAGTGAAGGATAGTTTTATATGGGTTAATTGAGGTATCAGGTGCAGAGAGTTAACTCTAGAAACAGAGCAGGCACTCCCCAAATTAGCACAGCCATCCCTGTAGAATACTTTAGGCTTATACACACTCTCCCTCTGAGCTACACTGAACGTATCCTGATTAGAGGGTGAATGCACTCATGTCCATTTCATAGAGTTTAAAACAAATTTCCTTCCCAGATTTGTGGAAAGAAAAAAAAAAAAAAAAAAAAAAAAAAAAAAAAAAAAAAAAAAAAAAAAGCCACAGAAATCAAAGGGAGTTTTATGTTCACATCAGTTTAGTGTGTTTATGCACCTGGTGTGTTTGTGTTGAGACATCTTGCAGCTTTTAACTCTTTATCCAAATGAGTTGAGGAATCACAGATGACCTAAGCTCCTTGCTCAAAGCCACTGGAGATTGTCTGCCAGGAAATAGAGCTGAAGCTGGCTTTTCCAGAACCTCTGCCTGTTTCTTAACCCAGAGGATCAGTCAAAACTAACAGCAAATTTTGGTCAGGCAACAACCCAATTTCATTACTCTATAAGACTGAAAAAAATGTTCATTGCTGTATTATTTTGGTAATAGCCAGAATGAGGAAAAAAAAGAACACAAATATGAAGGAAGTGAACAACCTAATAATTATTCCTCTCAGTATCTTCTGATCATTGAGGCCAATAAAGGTTTTCTGTAGACTCTTGCCAGTGTGACTGAGGTTTCATTCTGACACTAGTAAACTTAACAAGACCACCAAGGCACGGATGGACCACCATGGATGGCTTTGTGCCTACTACTAAATTGAACCCTGGCATAATTTTAGTTCAAGCTAGCTGGCATTCTTCCAGGCAATGCCAAAGCACAGTTTGGATACTAGCTGGTATCAGAGACCATCTCCAGTAGAGATTTTGGATGTGGATGCTGTGATTTGGAGAGTAAAAGGAGTTCAGCTGTGTTAATGCAAGCTCTTTCATTCCTGTTAGTTTCCAGGAAAAAGCTCTGAGAATTTTATTTCATAGTTTAGATGTAGTTGGTGTGCCCAGATCTTTCTTTCCTTTCCAGTATTACCAAAGCCAGCAATCAATTCTCAGTCCAAATATTGGCACCGTGACATGGCATTCAGCAGGGTGGCAGGATTAATATCATTTGACCATGCGGTTCTCATAAATGCAAGACAGTTCATTATATTTTAAAGAAGAGTACTGTTGTTTGGGAAGGGGACTGAAGCAGAGCTATGATTAATAAACAAACCACAACGTAAAATGATACAAACAATTGAAGAATGAATAGTCCAATTTGTTTCAACTAGTTAAGGGCTAGGTCCCCATAACTATAAACCTGTCTATGAAGTAAATAAATATATATCTGGGTAGTCTTTTTCCTAAATACAAACTGTGATGTGTAAATTAACATTAAAAACACAAACCTTTGAATATCATATAAAAAATTAGGTAGGTTCTGAATAGAAGAAAACAATCATTTTAAACAAAGACCTTCTCATTTAAAGGAATAATGATCAACATGTGGCTTACATGTAGTATGTGGCAGCTGCAACAACATTTATATCTGTGTGCCTGTTCTCAGGCATAGCAAAAAGTGTTGAAAACAGTAGCATTCCTCATGGATTTGCTCCAGATCCCACAGAAGTCAGGGAGAACCTACCCTCCGTGCTTGCTTTCACATTTGGGCAGCATAGTAAATGTTGAACTAACAGACCACAACTATGAGGCTCTCTTCCAGCAACCAGGCACATAAGAAACATTTTGAAGTCAGCATTTTGGGGGAAAAAGAAAGCAGTAGAGAGGTGGCACTGCAGCCACCTGGTTCCTTCAGCAAAGCCTGTCTTACATTAACCCTGATGTCTACAAAGGCCTTGAAGCCTCCAAGATGCATCAGATAAATAACCATAGTGGAGTTTTCTTTTGACAGGGTTAAGTGGGGGAGTGTATGTTTTTCCTTACAGTTACCCTTAATGTTATGCCATAAAACACATTATCCCTACTAGGAATATTCCTAACACAATATCAAATTATCACAATATGAACTTGAATTTTGGATGAGCTGGCCTACCTGTTCTAGAAGGATGACATCTCATGTCTCTCATGACAACAGTGACATCTCCCAGGAAACAAATTACTCTTTTTACCTCTGCACTGTACTTCTGATGCTTCTGTCCCACTTCAGATCATGCTATGGGGAAAGGGCTGGAGGCAGGGTAGCTGATCTTTTCTCCAAAGAACACCACCATTGCGCTGAGTAAGAAGACAAAAGTATTGGCTTGTGAAGAAGATAAGGTCCTCCTACAGCTGCCCAGTGGCAGACCAGATCCTAAGAATTGTGAAAGGTGTACTGTAGCAATTTAAAAGTTACACCAGAGGGGCTACAAAAGCACATATGCGCACAACACCAGTTTTTTCATATCTTCAATGCAGATGGATGAAGTTCCTAAAGAGGAGCTCCAGTAGGCATTGTTGTGAAGTGGATTGCAAGTCCATCCTGTTTGGCGTGCATAGCTTTCCTATAGAAAAAATATTTTATGCCAACATGAGTCAAGCTAAGAACACGGATCCTTGTTCCTAAATTAGGTGTATTCACTCAGACCGTTTACACCATCAGCTCTACATGTAGGATGCCAAGGTGAGTGAGGAAGAGGCCTGCAATGGGACATCACATCAGACACTGTGAACTGAGGAAACTGTCTGAAGAAATAGTAGTCTACTGTGTGCAAATTTGAAACCACACTTAAGAGAGGGGATTGGAGGTAAACTAATTTCCAAGTAGTTTCTTAACTAACTATCTGTTTTGTTGCTGTTTTTTTTTTTGTTTGTTTGTTTTTTGTTATTTATTTGTTTAGCTTTTACATCTGACTGCATTTTAAGTTAAGAATGTTCCATAAAAAATACATACCAATATGAAGTCTGGGAACTTTTAGCCTCCGCATTAATTTCAAATCCCCGAGAGGACCTTGATAAATGATGTCACTGAAAAAAAAAAAAAAAAAAATCAAATCCAAATCATAACTGGTATTAAATCATACGGGTATCAAATGAGAGACCTAAATTGGAGACCTTTAGGGTCTCAGACCCGATAGTATTGTGGCATGCACAGTGCAAACAAGGTTTGCTCCCAAAGACCTGGCACCAGCATTGCCATTGTGTAACACAGCTTTAAACCTGCTCGGAAGCAACATTGTAAATCAGGACTCATTCCACCAAAGTCAATGGAGCTAAGTGACCGTAAAACTGGTATGAGAGAGAAATCAGGTTGTTAACCTCTAAGTAGAGTTTGCACTCCTCTCACAGACTTTGTTGGGTCAGGCTGTATTTTATGCACTCAGAGTGTGAAATGAGAGCCTCAAGCTATGAAATGAGTATTTGATTGCAGTAAAGCTATGCTTGATATAACTTAAGGATACTATACTTTTAGCATAAACTTCTTTACCCATCTCCAACAACACTGCCTAAATTGGAGTGGAGGTGTCTGATTCTAACCTCAAACAGCAACTTAGACCATTGTCTGCCTACACAATCTAATGATAAGAGAACTGAAAAGCAACTACAGGCTTCCTTCTTTGACCTGCAAGTTCCCAAGACATTTCCCCAGAAACACTTAAGAATCCCCCAGGAAAACAAGAGAAAAAACTTATCTATGAGATAGTGGTAGGAGATAGCTGTAGAATTCTGGTCCTTGCTCTCAGGAATTACCTGACTACTATCATGAAAACAGGAAACTGGGGCCAGAAACTGGAACCTCAGAACATCTACCATACCATCCATGTTTTAAACATGGGCTTTAATTGGTGTTTTATTGTTCAGAAGATAATTGCTACTAGAATTCTGAGTGGGCTGAGGTGTTTAATATTCAGTGTTGTCTGGTTGAAAGGGATTTATCCCTCAGGAGCACTGAGGCACCACCATTGCACTGTAGGATTTAAAACACATAGGTGTGCAAAGTGTTATCTAAAGTACTCCACAGAGGGTATAAAATAGTCTGAATTCAGGTAAAGCAGCCCTATGTATCCATGGGTCAGAAGAATAACCTCTCTTTACAAGAGACCCTTAAACTGCATGTTAATGCTCAGTAGCAGTCAGACAGCAGACAGGATATACACCTCTGATCTGCTCACTTCTAAAAAGGCATAGAGAAAAAGGAAAGCTCCATGGGGGTTATCCGATGCACAGAGAGCTTCTCTTCATGAAGAGTTTAGGTCACAACAAATTCTTCAGTTTGGAAAGAGTGATGAGTATTTGGCATAAAATTATGACCAAAATAAAAAGAGACAATATTCTTCAAACTTTTATTATGTCCCATAGAGACTAGGAAGATATAGTAGGAAGACTGAGGCATGCTAGAACTAGGAAGACTAGAATGTGATTTCCTCTCTTACAGCTACACAGCATTATAAAGGTCACACTCTACAAAAACACAAAATACAATTAGATACGTTATTTAAAAAGAGCTATAAATGGCTACTAGACATAGAGAGTCCTTTCCTTTTTCTTTCTTTGCATGCATTCTGGAGATCTGATCATTCACTCAGCTTGGAAGAGTTCCTGCATTTGGTATCATTTCATTACTTTCATAAAAAATACACTAGAATTCATCACAACACAAGGTTATATAGAAAGATAGCAGATTTACATACTTATCCAAAGGAAAAGAATGTTAACTAGAGATTAAGAAGCTGCCACATCCAGATCTGGATTTTAAGTTATTCACTGCTGAGAGGCATCTGGAACATATTTAATGATTAGTGTTATTAGCTTTATGTTATGTGTTAATGTGGGATTGTGTGCAAAAGTCAGTCAGAACACAGCTCCTGATTTCTGAATTCCAGCTACACTGTAATTTTGAGGCATTTATTCATACTGTTTGTTTTTGCCCCTGGCTTGGCTGGAAAAGTACAAAAGAGACATCTAAAATATTAAAAAATGTCAAAGAAAATATATAGCTTATACGCATACATTCACCAAAGAGTTGTATGAAAAAGCAAAGGTAATACCTGAATTTTTGTAACTGCAGCCTATAAGCATCTGTCACTGCACAGAGGAGAGGAAGTTGCCAGAGAAAAAGCCCTGGCCCAGGTTAAGTGAGTGCATTTCAAGGGTTTTGCTGAGCTTTCACCCTTGCTGCCAGGCCACCCTGGCACCAAGTGCTCTTTCCGCAGTGTTTCAGTTTCTGTTTTCTCCAGGTGGTAAGGAGCTTTCTGTTTTATCAGGGGGGAAATCTGGGTTTGGCAGGCATAAAAAAAGTGTTGTTCACTTTCTCTGAGAAATGTAAACAGCATCACACCCAGCCAGCAGCACCAGTTAGTGTAACAGCAGAGAAGGAGGCCGTTCATATCTGCATTTCACCTCTCTAGGGGCACATCCAGATGAAAGTAAAATAATTAGTTTGAAAAGGCTCGTCCATTTATCCTGCTGGCATAAGACCTTTGTTTTATTTTAAGGGCTTTTAGGTTCCCGTTTCCCATTTTTTTTTTTTATTATTTAAAATAAAAGAAAGAAAGAAAGAAACAAAGAAAAAGAAAGAAAGAAAGAGAGTGAGAGAGAGAGAGAAAGAAAAGATGCTGCAGTATGAAAAAGCAGCAACCCTAAAAGCATTCAAAGAGAGTGCAGTAGTTTCAGCCTTCTGTTTGTGCGATTCCAATAGGTGTATTTAAATGTAAATGCTAGCCTTTCACCCCTGAGCCACCTATTCTTGCAGCCAGCAGAAAGAGAGCATTCATGGTATAATGTCTTTATGAGGACAGATCTTATACTTAATTTCTCATGTGAATCAAACTCTTTTATTACACATTTTTGCAAGATTAAAAGAACAATATTAGTCTAGTGGCTCAGCAGCCAGATCACTGCCCTGTCACATGGAACCTTGGGTTCAAAGGGATGGCAGGCAGCTTGGCTGGGAAGCGTGGAGTTGGAGCTACTCACTGCGTGGCTGGCTCCTCTGCTGCCACTGAAGCATTCAGTTCTGCACCGAGTGCTCCCTGGGGCAGCCACTGCCATCCTCCCACCAGCTTCTGGCTGGAAGCTTTGCAGGGAGCCATTGGGGAAGGGCCTGAAACCCCAACTCTTCCAAAGCCATCTGTGCAAGCTTGTATTTGCACAGTGAAGAGGATACTCAGGAAGAAGGGAGACTCTACAAACAGCTGTGTTCACTGTCCCGAGGCCCTTTGCCCAGTTACACCACAGCACACTCAGGTGACCCACACACATGGCATGCGGGTGGCAGCTGGGACCCACAGCAGAAGACAACACGGCTGTGGTTGGATCCAGCCCAGACCCTTCTGTGCCAGGGAAGATCCCCACTGAAGCACAGGGCAGAGCCCCAAGTGCTCAGTGTTAAGAGACTGATTTCATAAGAACAGAAAAAGATCCCATTCAATTTGGTTAGACAAACTGAAAATTAAATTAGTTAAGCACAGGCCAGGCCAATTGTTTTATCATATTTTCCCTCCACTGAACCAAAATAATTTTTCTTCAGAATTACTTCTTTTTTCTCTCCATGCAAAGTACTTCACCATCACACCACCTCTGTGCAACACTACACACAGTTTGTGGCACAGCCTCAGAAAGGCTGTAAGATGTCTGCATCATACAATGCTGTAAACTTGGCTCTGCTGGGTACTAGAATTATCACTCACTTTGGGATGCTGCTCAGAGGGCACAGTGTTAGGGGTCTGTGATATTTTTATCCTTGAAGATTTTATGTCCAAGACATCCTATTTTCCCCTTCCTCCAGCCATATGATGCCAGACAGAGATGCCTGTGTGTGCCACACGCATGAGCTGTGATGTCAGAGAACCCCATTTGTGCCTTCCTTTCCACTTCCCTTTCGCCTGCTGCACGGTATGCGTCCTGCTGTGGCACCAAGCACAAGAAAACCAAGGGGAAATAGCCTATTATTTTAGGAGGTGCAAGACCAAGCACATGGAACAGTGAAATTCTTGGAGAACACTTCTGTAAATGTTTTAAGTTGTAATATATTAAACAATTAAGAGGTGTTGGTATTTCAATGCTCCAGGGCTCCTGAAACAGGGAAGTCCCCTTTAAAAGCACTAGAGTGGAATGTGTATGGTCATGCTCTTTAGAAGAAAAACGACCTCCCTTTTTTCCCCCTTTCAGCAAAAAGGAGTTTCAGCTGACTTGCTTATTCAGCTGAGGAAATGAGGCCAGATTATTTCAATGCTGTTTTAAACAGTTAACTCTTTAAAAAGTCCAAAAAATAGAATCAGTTGTCTTGAAAGCCCTACTCAGGTAATTTAGAAAACAGTTTGGCTAATAACCTTAATATGCTGCTTGTATACCTGGGACTGTCAGCAGTGCAGGTTACTACAGGTTAATCAGTACATTGCTGATAGCAGCTGCAACAACCCCCTAAGAAATCCAGGCAAAATGTTTTTGCCTGTTTTCCTGACACTGACAAATCAGTGTCTGTGCACCATCAAATCAGTCTAGAAGGACAAGAACTGGTAACTGACAATTCTTAGCTGACAAAATATTCAAAATTTAGTGTAGCTAATGGCTGCTTAGTTAATTCTTAAAAAGCTCTTATCTGTGTGCTTAAAGTACATGAGAACAGAAAGCAAGTTCTCTTATGCACGCAGGCAGGGAGGCAGTCACACACAGGACACAGGATACGTGTAGTATGTAATTACATATATACATCAATTCAGACTAGCTCTAGGAAACTTTTATAGAAACAATTAAACAATCATCTACTGGTCCCTATAACATCAACAAGTGCACAGAGACTATGGACAAACTTTAGAATCATCTGGTTGAGTTTTTGATATTCAAAATTTGACATTCAAAATCATTTTCACCAAAATGTTTTTCTGACAAGAAAAGTATCAACAGAACCTAAAAATTAACGGTGGAAAACGCCTATTTCAAGTTCCTTGTAAGAAAACAAATACAGGAATTGGCAAATTCTGTGCAGCTTTAGCTCTGAGGTAATTATGGCACGGTTTTGCTTTAATCACTTATCTCAGGGCAGCCCATCAGATTAATGAGGGGGAAAAAAATAGTATTAAAACTTAGTGAGTTACTGGAATTTTCTGGAACTGGAACTATACAGATGGTCTGCAACATATTTGTATAGGAGATGCCCGAGTGTTGATGGGTTTCCAACTATTATAGTAGCATAGCAAGAAGGCAGATACTGGGCAGTGAGCACTGAGCAACTGTTGTCACTGAGCCTTCCCTTCTTGGCTGCTTCCCCACTCGCCCAACGAGCAGTTTTGGTCTCCCAGAGCAGAGACAAAGGTTGCTTTGGAGAAGCTGGGAAGCCTAAGAACACCATGTAGATTTAGGGCTGGATAGGAGGTATTGTCTGGAGGCCATGCCCATTACTCATCCGCTGGCAACGGGCTCTCTTCCTTTTGTCTGGAAAGACGGTAAACTTTCAATGCCATCTGAAAACAGAAGGCCTTTCACGAACTGCAAGAACTCTGCCATCTCAATCATGTGAAAATATTGTAAACACTTTCCCAGCCCCCATTCAGCTGTCTGAAAAGCAGAGCTAGAAAATACAAAACAAGACAGGAAGGAAAGAAAAGGGTGTGCGCTGCACACTTCATTTCAATTTCTGTATTTACTCTTGGTAGGAATTTTACATGGAATCTTCTTTTTTTCCCCTTTAGCATTAGTGAACAGGGTTCAATATCTATGATGAGGAAAAGGCAGTTAAAAGCCCGCTCTGTGTTTTATTTAGAGGGAAAAAAAATCCATTACCCAACAGTTTCTTTCCAGCGGAGCTCTCATATTTCCTTATAGCCCCTGCAAAAGCAGATTTCCAACATTCTGTGGGACTTGAGTTTCTCCTTCAATGCTTGGGTTGACCCACCCCAATGAACTTTTCCCAGGAGGGCCTTCCCTCTATACTTTAAAACAACAGTAGTGCTGTATTACTGCCATATCTTAACATATATAATTTCAGCTCCAGGATCAGAGTAGGAAGTGTTTCAGAAATAAAAAGATATTCAAATAACGTGTGTGTGCATGTATACATGCTTACATGTCTATCAAACATAGAACATATCAAATATACTTTTGCATAGTTTTCACAAAATTTTAAACTACCTCCCTGATTGCACTATCTAGATAGGCTGTGCTGGTGTGATATCCCATTCAGTGCGTGGTGTGATCATGTAAATGTAACACAGTTCCTTGCTGAAAGCGATAAACTCATGCTACTGAAGTCAGTGACTACCTAAAGTTTCATCCCACAGTAATGCATTAGAGCCTGGTTTCTACACTATTTCAAGTATAAGGCTTTGATTGATTCTAATCAATTTAATACTGGAGAACAGCACAGAAAAATAACTAGGCAGATAGTAAATAGGAAATATGCTTTGTTTTCTTCTGCAGAAGTCCTGCTCCAGAACAAGATCTCTGGCCAGGCTGGTTGATGACCCAACCCTCAAAACAGAGCAGAATCAGGTACTGCAGGTAAACCTGGATATGTCTCTTGACTAGTTTTGCTATATAAACAAATCACAAATGTGAGAACGCAGACCAAATGAAGCATAAACCTGTACACATTCAAGAGCATTCAGTGCTCTGTTTCCCACCAGGGTCAACCAATCTAGCCTAGCCATGTCCAACCCATTGTCTGGAGGCTGCATTAGGCCTTCGACAGTTAGTAATGTATCCCCACAAGATTGTAAACTTTTAACAAGATTATGTGATTTTTAGTGATATTTCTCAGGAGGCAGTTTCTCTTCACCATTTCTCAGTACACCTATTATACATCAGAATGACTTATTTAAGACTTATAGAGGTCCAGCACTTGAATTCCATACCCCTCAAAAAAGAATGTATATTGCCTGAAAAGTCACTTACACTTTCTATATATACAGTGAGAATACCTAATCATAGGTTAAAGAATGAGGAAAGGTATTTACCAGTAACTGAAGCAGAGGCTGATAAGCTGAATGATGCTTTAAATTCACAAATTCGTTCCTCGAGGTTGCTTGCACATGCTTTCTCAATATTTCCCTCCTATCCTCTCCATTTTATGAAAAGAAGCTGTAATAAATTAGAATTTTATGAGTCTCCAAATAAAAACCTTCACTAAAATTGAAAACAAAACATGGTCGTAGAAGCATATGGAAAGCTTATGAGAGGAGGCAATAAAAAACCTGTCCCACTCTTTCTTGTTTTTTACAGACCAAAAATTACAAGAGACAGATGAAGTTTGCTGTACAATAGAGTACAGGCCCATCTCCCAGAAAAGAGACATTGTATTTTCCTTAATCATTCCTCTAATACAAGTTAGCCAAAGAATAACTAGTCTTAAGATCCATCTTCTGACTTTCTTCCTAAAAATATTTTGAAGTTACATATGGAAATGAGATACCTTTCTACTTTGATCCTTAGCTTAAGGGTAACCAAGCAGAAATGGCTTCCTGGTCTTTCATAGAATTTTGTTTGGAACTGAACACCGGGCCCTCTGAATTTTGTTACTAGCTTTTTAAGAGTTTTATGGGATAAAAGCAGGGGTTTTATTTTACTTATTTAATTATTTATTTCACCTTTGTTCCAAGCCTCAAAATGATTAATTCTGGCCACTGTGTACACAGTTTTATTTTAATCATTTTTTTCCATCATTTCTGCCATCATTGCCATTCCCTTCTTCCAGGATAGTGTGGGTACAGGATTTTGTTCATCTAAGCGATGGAGCAGCTATTAAGGATTCTTTTCCTTTGTTTTTAAAAACAGTACTCCACATTCCAGACATTTCTACCAGACACAGTGGTTTGGAACTGAAGACCACTGTAAGCAATGAATTTTGGGTCTGGATCTAAGCTATTGCAAAATACTTAGAGAACTTTTCAGATTGTCCATCTCTAAGTTGGCCTAAATTTGAGGGCTAAGCAAAGAGGATATTTGTGTAACATCTTAGATCAGTAGTGAGAATTCTTTTGTATACTTTGTTCTATGGGAATAATTACAGATTCCATGTTCAATGCTTAAGTAAAATCTATAAAATGCTAATTTCCACTTATAGAGGACAGAAGTGATACCAACCATACACAGACAGCACTCTATTGGCTTAAAAGTATATTAATTTGACATTTCTGGTAAACTGATCAATTGTGAAATGGTTAATGGTGGCAAATATTAAGTTACCCTTGTTTCTGATACCCAGTTAAAGATGTGTTCAAAATATGAGCAATAGCCAGCAAGGATTGGCCATCATGCCCTATCGCTCAGCTGTTAAACACAAATGAATTCTGAAGAAATGGTGATAAAATGAAGGTAAAGACATTCCATACCAGAGTGGGGGAAGTGTATTTACAGAATAGACCTACTTATGGTCTGGGGAGGTAGCATTCATACAGAGAAATTGCTATAAAGGCTTTGTGCCCAACAAATTCACTCAGGCTTTGAAGCAAGAACATCTATATATAGCACATGAAGAATATCTGAAGTGATCTGGGCTTTTGCATCTTTCTTTAGAAATAATCTTGCTGAAACTCAGGACTCTTCCCTAAGTGACCTATGACTTAATCAAACATCAGTGAAATGTCATCCTCTCTAACACAAAAAACCCAAAACAACAACAAAAAAATCAATATCGTGCCATACAATTCACTAAGAGACCTCAGTGGCATGCTGTTTTGTGGTAGCTGAGAAGAATGAATACTACCCAGTCTTCTGTCATTATAGAGAATAATAAAGAGAAAAAAAGTTATTTTGACATTGAACAGGATTCCGTCTGACTTCTATTTCATTAGAGTTTTGAATGCCCCCTGATTTTCTGTCTTTTCCTTTTTTGGCTCCAACCCATTTTCTGTACAGTTCCAGTGAATTATTTCAAGAGATTCTCTTTGGATATCTACAGAAATGGGGCTACTTCACAGTTTTCATCCATTTCCAGATATTGAATGTTCACAATGTATTCAAATAAATCAAAGATAGGCCATCTGAAAAACTCAGTTATTGAACAAATGTGAACTCTTCACATCCCTCAAAAGCTATAAAAGATTAACTTTAGCAGTTTATCAGGTTAATATTATTTACAAGTTAAATTCTGTTTGATGTTATGGATTTGGAAGTAATGAGAAAAGACATATTTTCATTTCATTCTACAGCTACTGCAGTCTATATTCTGACTTTCTCAATTCTGGAATCCATTAATAATGGATATTTTTTCCACTGTAATTATTTTGTAACACAGCATACTCATACATAAGTACTGTCACAAAGAGGAATGCTGCAAGGAAAGTCAAACCGTTCTAAGGATCTCTTAAGGTCTTCTGGATCACAATCCCAAACAAATATCCTATGAAGAATGGCGCCTAACCAGACTTCACACCTTTCTATGGTATTTTCTATGGTGGTATTAACTATCAACAAGCCTCCTTCTGAGACAAAAGGCTCTCCCAACTAGTGCATAAGGGAGTAGCATTTAGTGAAAACTCCTCCCCAAGGGAGGTGGGCTAGACGTGTAGCTTTGTGGAATATCCCACAATTCCTCATGGCAAATCCTGCCTTTTTATGCAATTTATTTTGCCTGCTGCCCTAAACATCCATATTTCCCCCACCCCTCTGTATGGGAGATGTAAGACAAGTCTAAACACAGCTGTCAAGTTCTAAAATCAGCATCAAAGCTCAGTAAAAGCAAGAGAGAAAAACAGTATGCTTTGTTAAACAATACTGCCTCAGATCTTAAAGGGTTATACAATGAAAGTAATACCCCCTTTGAGTTCTGTATATGGCACGCATTACCTAACATCCTTAGTCAGAACCCCACTGTTTATGAGGTGATGAGAAAAGAATACAGCTCCCTCTTGTCAGTAGGATATCTCTACTGCCCTGCAGGAAATTTTTTCCTTATATTTCAGATGTATTGAATCTTCTGGACATTAGAAAAGCAAAACATGCACTGTGCCCTCAGGAGCCATCACCTTTCTTGGTCAGTTCATAGGTTCGCTAAGGTCACGGAGAACACTCTTTTACATCATAAGTGGTACCTTCAGGCTGTTTTACTCCTCCACAGGAATCTGAAAGGATTTAAACAGATTTATCAAAACAGAAATGGCAACATTTCTGTTTGGAAACATCAGGATTTCTAAACATTTCTTATTTCTTTCCCCGTTGACACTGTTACTTCTCAGGAAAAAAATCTGCCTGCTAAGTCACTCCTCCTTCCTCTTAAACACTTCTGCTTTACTATTGGTATTAGTGCAGCCACTCTGTATGTAGGTAATATTAAATAAAGGTATATTTATATGTTTATTGTTGTTTTTTTTTTAATGCAACTATTTTTTTAATATATATTAATTTTTAAGGATAATGTGAAACCTTGTGACAATCTAATCAAATTGTCTATATAACATAAGTCACAAAATACACTTTTTCTGGTGGGATCTTGACCCCAAATTGCATCTTTAAGTTGCAGTAATGTTGCAGAGAGGAAAAACAAAGCAAAAACCTTTTGCTTGAAAAACGTGCGTTCTGTCAGTAGAGCAGTCAGGCAAAGTGAAGACATCAGAGACCTCTCCTTACACATTCTGCAGGATCCTGGCTCTCTCCAGGGCCTTCCCAAGGCTCTTCTAGGGAGGATCACTGTGGATTTAGTCTTCTTGGACTAAATGTTGGCACATTCTCTTGGCACAGAAATAACAGGTTAAGAAAGAAAAAGAAAGTTATGGTAAATGGTACAACAAAATTTTTATTTATTTTTAAGTCTTAACAGCCAGGTGAGTTATTCCACTTTCAGCCCTAACAGGTCTCTGAGTGGGAAAATCAACATCAAGCTCATCATTTGCTGGTGTGCAGCAGGGCAAATGATGCCAGAAATGCATTTGGTAACGATGTTGTTGAGCTGGGTGAGGATCTACTCCTCTATCACAGCCATGTATAAAACACTTTCTGCTGCCACTCCATTTCAGCTGACACTTTACTTTTTACTAGATAATAGGGTGTGTTGTACTCCATACTGCAAGTGTGAGCAAGGAATGGGAAATACTATAAACACTGAGCTAATGTTATGGTATATTCCTAAGAAAGGGGAATGGTTTTGCAAGGATCACAGCATGCAGTCCTCACTTCAGATTATAAAAGAAAAACACCTTAAGAAGGGAACAGAAACGAACTTAAGACTAGATAACAATTTTTCTCTGGTAGTGAGGTACAGCTGAAGGGGCATAAATTCTGCCCCTCCTGCTAAATTACGCACCAAAAAGCAAAGGCAGTAATCTAACAGCCATAGACTGTCATGTAGTAACAAAGAGATGGACACCACCACTTGTCATTTTACCATAGCATAGCTCTTGCTGTTTTTCCTCAGATATACATAAAACCTTCAAGGTCAGGGATCAGCTAAATCATCAACTGGACATGGGGACAAGGAATGGAGACACACCTGAGTTACTCAGCAAGTAAAGGCAGCTTCATGATTCTCCATTGTGAGAATGGCAAGAAAGAAAGGCATTTTAGTCTTTAATCGGGAAGATTGGTATCTTAGCTAGTCTGCAGTAATTCAAGTCCTGGACAAAGAAAAGAAAATAAAAATCACTTTTTAGGAAAAAAAAATGACTACTGTGTGGCACCATAGTTTCATGTCTACACTAAATGAGCACCCCAGGCCACCAGCCAAATAAACATGGGATACAAGTATTCCAGAAATATGCACTCTTTTCTCAAAGTGAGCTCTTCTACTTTCCTTTTTATTGTGAAACTCATTCCCCTCACCAGAGCGGGGTTGTGTAACCATGAGTTCCCTGGGACAGTTTCCCTATTCATGACACCATACCATGAGTAGCTTATCTTTGTAAAATGCCTGGAGGTCTATGGAGAGAAAAAAAAGAAAACACCCATTCCGCCCTTACCACCTCATGCTAATGCTTGGCTAAGCTTGCAGTTCTCAGCCTAGCTTTTGCTGTCATTCACTGTTTGAGCCCAAGCAAATTCCAATCCACTCCTTTTCCTGAGGCTCCCATTTATTTAAACAGGTGGGACCAGAACTGCTGCACTTCCCAAAGTGCTGCTGCAGCTGAAACAGCTTATATAGTAAATCTACAGGTATCAATTAAGAACAGGCAGAAGTGGTAAGGGCAGTGCAGCAGCAGCCATTTCTGCAGCTTTGTTGCTGGCAAAGTGAAAAGGAGTTTTTAGCTATTCTGTAACTTTCTCCGCTTAAAAGACCCTCCAGCCAAAAGACCATTAGCTGGAATTGTTGCATAAACTTAATAACAATCTTTTTTTCATTTAAGGCTGTCCCACCATTCTATTATCTGTCATTAATTTTCCATATGTTCCCCTCTCCACCGCTCCTAGGCTGGGTTCAGTTTACAGAGTTGGATCAGATTTCTTTACAAGCCAGGACATTTGCTGGCTTGCTTACTAGCTTGAGGCCAGTTATGTTTGAGTGAGGCCCAAGCAAAACAAGTGAGATTTGGTGACTTTCCAGAGAGTAGGCACCAAACTGACAAGATCTGAGGTTGTTGTTTTTTAAAAGTTGAAAATTTTTAAAGTAATAGCTTTTCCATTAATTCAGACAATCTCATTAAAAAAAAAAAAAAAAAAAAAAAAAAAAAAAAAGCTGGTGGCTAGTAATTAATAAAACATTGCAGCATCTCTGCTTCCTATAAAGCACAACTTCTGGTTCTGTTTTCTTTGCACTTAAAGTAAGGCTACAGTTTCTTCATTATATGTATTTTTAATCACAGATGGGAAAATGCAACCCTACCTTGGGAGAAAACAAACTGATAAAAAAAGATCAGCAAACCATTTTTCCCCAATATTCATGCTAGATAACAAAGTCTAGTCTTTCTCTAATAAGCATTCAGACTTCATGTAAAACCCTCCTCTAATTCAATCCTGACTTCTAGAAACATTTCTTACACTGTCACGTTGAATCAAGAAAAATAATTTAGTGTCCTTCCATCCAAGCCTTTACACCTAATTGTCACTGATCTTCTAACTATATCTAGTGTTATTCTACTCCTTTGTTCTCCCTGTTTTTAGTTTTATTATTGTATATCTGAATTATATTCTAAATGCTTTTGGATAAGGACTACTGGAAATTGCCAAGAATATCTGTGGGCCTTATGGAAATGCTAAAGTGGAATTTCAAATGCAATTTGAGACTGAAGGACCTCCAGACCTTTGACAGTCTCTCACTGCATACTCCCCATATTCACAGAAAGGAAGGTAGCAGAACCAGGGTACAGACCAAAGTTGGATATTGCATTTCAGGCTGAGTCAAACACAGAGGAGCACACGAATATCCAGTAGTTTGAAAATATCTTGAATAAGAAGAGATTCTCACAAAACATTACATCTTGTTAGGGACGGACAGCATATATGGCAGGAGAATACTCTGACACTTTGAAACTCGTAGGATTTTTTTTATTAGCATCAATGTGATAACAGAACATAATAGAATAGTTCAGCTGGAAGGAATCTTCATAGATAATCTAGTTCAGTGGCACTAGAGTGTGAATTTAGCTGTTCCAAAGGTACTCCTCTGGTTTTGCTCCATGCATTTAAGTACTGTGTTATAGATGTTGTAACAGACAGCATGTAAAAAGTTATGCAAATGCTAAAAGCAAATATCATGTCATCTACATTCTTAATATTAGTAGTACTTATCAAGGCAAGAAAGAACAAGGCATGGCAGTGCTAAGCGTTTACAGATAAATATTCTGGTCTGGACACAAGCAGTATTTTGGCCCCACAGTGCCAAAAAAATTGCTGCTCCTGATTCCTAGGTGTGTGCCTGCCTGGTGGGATCCAGAGCTTGGGCACTGAAGAATGCAAACATCCCAAACAGCAGCTACACAAATTAACCATTAGGAAATGCTGAGGAAATTGGAATTATCTTAAGCCTCTATGGAATTTTGTTGCCTATCTCAAGTCAAGGATCTCCACCCTCCTCCACAAAAACAGAGAAAGAAGTTGCTGCTGCTGCTGGCGGCTTTGTGCAGTAGGACTTCAGCTGGGGTGCTCCCTCCCACTGCAGGAGCTCTGGGCTCCATTCCTTCTAGGTATGAAGGAATCTGTATAACCCACATCTGTGCTAAGAACTGCCAGGCTATAGGTTATCCTGATCTGGGAAGTTTCCACTCTTTCCTTCTAAGGCTGTTTCTTTTGGCATGTTTAGGAAACGAACCGAAGGAAATAAACCTAATCTAAACCAAATATCCTAGTGACTCCATATTTTTTTCCCTTTCACATCTATTCTTTTTGAAAGGGACAATTTATTGCCTATCTGAGGTTATTTACAAGGTAATAGAAACCACTTAAATACTGCACCATTGCCATGTCCCAAATTGTACATGCTTACTTGCAAAACAAGTTAGAGTTGGATAAAGAAAGGGTTAAACAAATAGTTGAAGACAGAAGAATGATCACAGTCAACTCAGGGCCATGTAAGGGTTCTGCAGAACAGAGAAGTTTATACCACAAAACCATAGGGACGTTTTTTTCTTATGTTTTTTTTAAGGTTTATGACATGGATGAGAAGTAAAGGAGGCAGGAAGAGGGAGACCAATAGGGAAGAACTCAGAAAGATTCAGTGACAAAAGGAAATAGATCAGGTTGGAAAAGACAGATTTGCAAGTCATTAGCAAAAATATAGTTGTTCTGTTATTATACTCTCAATAGGCTGGGCAGAGAGCATAGAAGGGGAAGAGGAGAACCACACACAGAGCTCACCAAGAGCCCTGCAGAGATCAGAACTACGAGGGAACCACCAACTATCCACCAACAGCCGCTAAAAGTGGAGCTGAATGAGAAAACAGAAAATTAAAAGAGAAAGTTGGGAAAGAACAGTCACAAAAGCAAAGAAAGGGTGAGATTTCAATGAGTCAATGGGGTAAACAGCATTAAAAGCAAGAGATAGGTAAAGAAAGATGAGGTTGCAGAACAGACCTATGTCTGGAACAGGAAAATCCCAGGGGAGTTAACTGCACACTATGGGTTTCTGTGCTTAGACACAAAAAGCTTTACAAACCAGACTGTTGGCAAAACTTAATGAGTGCCACGCTGGAATAATTAAAATAAAAGCTGTTCACTGAAGTTATTTTTGGTGGGCATGTTTGGATCAGAGAGCAGAGTTGTTGAGCACAGTCTAATACATGCCAAAAATCCTATTATGTGCCTGCCACTGCACCCTGCCATACTTGGAAATATCTTCAAAAACTGTGGTAGAGAATCATTATTGGCTTCACACGTGAAGGACAAACTAGAGTTACGTTTTAGTTGGAGGCTGTAGTGTTCCTCATGAGCTATTTCTCCAGGAGGCGGGAGCCATGTTGCCTGGGCAAGGGAGATGTTTGCTCTCTGACAAACCTCAGAGTGGTCAGGAGACCAGTCTAAATTCAGTATTCCTAAGGGAAATTCCATACTTGAGAAATATCAGGAACAGTAGCTTCATTTCATATTTTCCAGAGGAAGCAGGGTGCATAAGTCAACAACAGGTTATAACACATGGTTACTTCCTAACTGATGAAATGGGGTGCTCATACCAAATCTACTCTCATAACTGACATGGGCTGGCATAGCAGATAATGAAGCACCAAGATCCATTAGAAAAAATATCACCTCTCAAGAGCACACCATTTTTGTTTTCTTGTAGTGGAGTTCCTCAAAGGATCTTGCAGAGAATCATGATGGTTTTCTGAATATCTTCACCACTGTTTTTTCCCTAAAAAGCACGGTATAAAAGCTGCTGTAAATGTGAAAATGTGAGACAAATAGAATACAAAAAAAAAAAAAAAAAATCCCAAACAAGTGTGAACCAGAAATTTCAGAGGATTCGTCATTGCCTGTATGAAAAATTGGTTGATATTTAACTGAATTCATATTTAACTGAATTCAAACTTGTGGAAACCTAGACACTAGGCATATGCCTTGAAATGGCTGAAATAACCCTAAAGCATTGCAATAGACAACTACCCCTATCAACCTACCAGGGATCAGCTTCTTAGGAACAGAAAAGTAGAGCATATATCCAATTCTTTGACAGTTCTCCTGGTATGACCATTCTCACACTATATGTTTCTTCTCCTCTACAGTAGATATATGCCAGCAGCCTTTCCTCAAAAATGTCTTCTTCCTTCAGCACAGCAGAGCTGATGACTCATTGCAGGGCAAATTGCCTTCCTTTTCTCCAAAGGTTATTTTTCCCTCAACACTGGACAATGTAGGTTGACTCTGTTTGCTGTTATGCAAATACAATCTCCAGACAATAGCTTTCCAAATCAGGCTTTTACTGAGAAAGAAAAGAAAACAATCTAAAAGGTCTTTAAAAAAGAAAAAGCTTAGATAATATATTCAGTCTTTTTCCTTTTTAGGGGTGTGGGGAAGCTATAATTTGCCGAATACTTTCTATTTAAGCAGCTTAGATTTGCTTAGAATGTAACTCAGCCATCAAAGTGTTAACTAGCATACATGTGAGAACTGAGACTGGGCTCTTGTGTGCTGCTATATTTCTGTCATCTGAAAGTTAAACATCGGGTTAGGAAAATCCAAATGGTGGCTTCATCATCAGAATGACAGCAGAAAGAAAAATATTTGCACTTTTTCCCCCTCTAAGTAGAGGGTTGGAAGGGAGCATTTCTCTCAAGACATTCCTTTATCCTTTTGACAGCAAGCGCTGCATTGCTGAGACTGTCTCAAGTCACATGTTACTAATGCCCCAGTTCCTTCTGTCTAGAGCCCATGCTGCAAATACTGTTTTTCCCAGAAATCACAGCATTCGTTGGCTTCATTTTGTGGACATCAGACTCCTTGTCCTCTATACCCCTGCAAAAATCCAGGCAACTTCTGTTCAGCAGATCCCAAGAAGCTGAGCAGTGGAACTGCCAGAGCCAGGATTTGTACAGAGCTTGCAGAGTCAAAGTCTTTTTCTAGCTGCACTCATGTACCTCTGCTACAGCCTCCACTGTCATGGGTATGGTTTTGTACATCAAAAAAATTAACTTAATAAGTTCTTCTTTTCCTTTTTATTCAACATCTGTAGCTGAGACTTTTGAGGTGTAATAATGACTTCCTGAAAACAACGTGGTTTAAGAAACACTCTTCTGACAATGTTTCTCACTAATTTTTTATATAAAGCCCAATAAAAACAACCAAATTACTTCCTTTCAAATCCTACCTTGAAATCCTCCTTCCTGCAATAACCATTTAAGACATTAATGGCAGCGTGATTAGTGCTGAACTGAGGCTGTGTTGATGGATATCGCTGCCATTTGTACTCCCTTCTTTTCTGTCTCCATCTTCTCACTCTTAGTTTTATGTTTGGACTGCGAGCCCTTTCCCTCAGAGATTGTTTCTATGTTCTCATTTTGGACAGGGGTAGCACTGTAAGCCTCAGTGTTTCCCCGATATAAAGAATCAACAGGGAAGACAGATTTCCCTTGTTTATGAAGTGACATTTTAGCTTTTGTTACACTCAGATAGGAGGAATGTTGTCTGTACAAGAGAGATGAGACAACAGTCTGAATTTTAATCTACAATGTTCAAAATTAAGAATGATTTTGAAAGCTTCAGCTTCTTAACTGAAATTTGGGATATCTTTATTAAACTTCTTTTAATGCTTTTAATATAAAGTATGGCATGACATAAATACCATTTCCAAATAAATCTTCCCAATTTCTCTCTTCTCAGTTTCTCCTTCCTGAGAAGAGGTATTAATTATAAAATCGTCAGGGGCCCAAATTCTGTTCTCCTTGGCAGGTCTGCAAAACTACAGCAAGTCGAAGTGGAGCTCATGGGAGGAAAAACTGTATTTAACACTTATTCATCCCATGTTCTGTTATATTCTTGCCTCTCTACACAAACTTTTTAAAACAACTTGCTCCAAAAACTTAGCAGTATCTGTTACCCTGTGCATCACTAGCAGCTGAAGACCACGTCAGCTTAAGAATAGCACAGAGCCATGAAGAAACACACATGCTACTCAGGTGCATCCTCTCACTGCCACGGGGCTGTCAGCAGAAGTGATGCAGCAGCTCAGGTATTGGACTTGTCTTATATGATAATGTTTTCAAAGACAGGCTGTCTGCTGCCCTACTTATTTTCATGCTGCAAAAATGTGAGTTACTGTGGTAAAAGTTTCCATCAAAAAGTGAGAGATTCCTAAGCTGGGCTTTCGGAGGCTCTCTGTTCTCTCTAGCAGGGCCTGCTGCAGCTGACCTCAGTGCAGTGTGCATAGCATGGCTGCTGGGCTCCCACACTGAAACCAGCCAGCCAGTTTGCACAAGCCTCCCATTCTAAGATATGTGTAATTTATTTGAGCTGATAGAGAGGATAAGAATCAACTGTCTGTTTCCCAGTTAATAAAAAACATACAATGAGGAGAGAGCTCTGCCAGCATATCTTGTTTACCCGAAAATGTTTGGCATTAAATGTGAAATCGGAAATGAACTCATTATCTGATTATTTTCATTTTGAAGAATTAACTGCTTTGGGGGAAAGGCTTGTCCTAAACAGTCCCCTTGTATGGATGACTAATTGCAAATACATATCTGAGAAGAATACAGCGAGCTCTTGTGACTGCCAGGGTAGGATAGAGCTCTATCAATTTGGACAAGAACACTGGGAGTATCCTCCCATGTGATGTATTTCAAAACAGGAGGAAAAGTGTTCAAGTTAGCAGCATTACGTCCGTATAGATGAGAAGAGTTTCAGGAAAGGCCACATTCTGTCATTTTCGTCCAGACAACATGGATAGGAATGCTTAAAAATTATTTGTAGTACATCTGCCTCTTCCTCCCCTACAATATAACTATATAGTAGACTGGATATTTATTACTTTCTAGTTATAAAAGTGTGTTGAAAACAGAATCCCTCAGTGGTATAAATAAGAATACTTAAGGAATACTTAATACTTAAAAATGAAGACAGTTACCATTGGAATCAGATACTCATACAAGGCTAACAAAATTTTAGGAAAACTTCCCACTCCACTGTAGAACCAACCTTAGGCCACTCTGGATTAGGAGAAAACTGAGGTTAAGACAGCCCGTGGGGCTGCATCTTTTTGCATTCTCTTCTGCAGTTTCTTTGTTCGGCTCTCATCTGCTTGAGCTCAGCTTTCAGTGTTTCTGGTTTTCCCTCTCCATATCTGACTCAACAGCTGCTCCTTCTAGGCTTGCTGAGTGCCTCTTCTGTATTCAAATACTGCTTTCTTTTCACACTGGGAACTGAAGTGAGTTTTGAAAGGGTACCATGAAGCCTTCCACTGTGTATCAGCACTGCACAACTTAAACACATGTGCTCCACTGAATATTTGTCTCTTCCTTTTCTTATCTGACTAAAATATCCCCATCCTCACATGCCCTGTGAACCTCTTCACAATGTGCATGACATGAACTTCCTTTTAGCTACATCTGATTCATTTTTTTTTCTGTCCAGCCAATCAATACAGAGGCAAAAATACATTGGTGTCAAGGGAAGTGGCAGGCCAAACTTTGGTCTGTCCAACAAGCCAACATCACTTGATAGGCTTCCTACAGCCCACTGACTGTGCGTAATATAGGCAGGGGAAGCCCAAATGCATTCTCTCCATCTCAACCAGTACAGAGAGCAGATATCCAAAGGCCAGCTGAATCACTGCACTTGGTCCTTACTACTCAGCTCATGTCTCTGTGTGCTATAGCACAGATGTTCCCAGAGCTGATCTAGTTGGGAACGAGAAATCACCTTGTCAGGCTGAACACTGTTTAGATCTCCAGAATTTTGCAGCTGCTATTTGTGATTCTTCCTCAGTATACATTCTCCATTAGTTAGAGTACATAGGGTGAAGCCAATTCCCCCAACTGCGCAAATATAGGCAGCATTTTAGAACAAAAATGTATCGTTGCAGATGTACCTCGTAAAAAAAATATTATGAAAAAAAACCCTGCAAACATTACGTTCCCACCAACAAAGATACACATTCCCAGACTAATGCTGATGTGACAATTTCCATGTACTCTGGTTTCTTCCCTTTCACGTAGCAGTGCTCACAACAGTGTTCGCCTTTTCTGCAACAGCTGGTCTAAGGCAGTGAAGGGTCACCAGTACTGTTCTGTTTCAGTTCCTGGAGGCTCCCAGCTCTGGCAAAGTGCCATGTTTTCTGAGCAAGTCTGTCTTGCCCCAGAAAGAGAAGAAATATTCTGTATTTGAACTGTTAAACCTTCATTTCCTCTCTGACGCTGTCTCAGCATGAGTAGCATTTTTGAGTCTGTTTAGGTGTTTGCTCTTCTTTCTTCAAATCTCTGAAAGATCTTATTTGCACTGAAAGGGACAATTGAGCATGAACTTTGTGAGTTCTTTTGTACGGCAAATGTAAGCTTTTAAGATAAGGTATTTGAGGTTTTCTTTCCATTAAACTATAGAAAGCAATTAACCAGAAAGGGTAAACAGTTAGCAAATGTGAACGCAACGGAATAGTCTGATTCTCTTTTCATTCCAAATGAAATGGAAAAGAGAGAGTAATAACATTCTCAGAGGAATTTGTCACATGTGTTGTTTGCGCATATCTTTCACATCTTGTTCCTTCACAGCCTGTTAGATCCTGGAGTTGAAGGCACATTCTTCAACTTCCTTCTGTAATCCAGACCAAACCATGGCACCCATATCTGTGTTTTTATCTCAGTGAATAGTAAGGGTTCCACTGGTTTATTATTATTCTTGCTACTATGCCTAATATCTTTTCTAGGAAGTTGCAAGTTACATCTGCTCCCCACATTACTAAAATTGTACAGTGGTGCTGGTTTCTGTCACCCTTGATGTTGCTGTTACTGACACCTTTCACCACTTTCAATAGTGCTTTGAGTTTTTCTGATTAAAGAAGGGAAGTCAAAAAAGTGACCATCACCTCATCAACATCACCATCATTGATTAATGAAAGCAGCTTATTGATCAGTGTTCAAGCGCAGGGAAGAGAAAACTTGTTCTAGTATTTCCATGGATGCAACGCTACCTGCAGTCATTTTCTACTGTTTCTGCTTTTTAATTATCTTAAATTATTTTGCCTTAACCCAATTTTGGGTTGGGAAAGATACTACTACTGTCACCTACTCCCTTCACCTATGAAGAACATGAAGCCCAAGAACCAGCACAGCTTCTGACACAATCAACTAAAGATCCCTGTTGAACTTCAATCCTCAGCAAACCAGTTCATTATTTCTAACACACAGTACTGAGTCATATTTGTATATGCAGCACAAAATGATTTCTTACCCTTGACTAGCCCTGTGCTAGTTTGTGTGTTTGTCTGTCTGCAGGGAAAATGGAGAGGAAGGATATCTATTGTCAGTCACCTCTGTTAAAGACTTGCATAGTGTTATTAGCTTTGCATTTTTGTGAGCTTTAGTCTTGAATATTGCATTTTGTTCTCCTGATAAAAATATTCTCAAGAATATTGTTCATTAGGACGTGGAATACTGAGTGATCAGATTCCAAATATGCTTGGGTACAGGAGATGCTTTCTTGTATCTTTGGGGTAGGGAGAAGTGTATGAATCAACTTTTCCATCAGTAGACTTTCCCACATCTTCTGGAACCACTCAGTAACATGGGTACATGGATTGATTTCCACACTGCTGCTATTGTTGTTCAGGCTTTCTGTGATTCTGTGTCCATAACTGAATGCCAAATGCCCAGAGAAGGCTGGGATGATACTGAATCAAAGATGAAGCATACACACTATCTCTCATAGTCTTCTTTTTTTTCTGCTGAAATACTAAAATTGAAAAAAGATTTGTTCCTCATTATGTTGCATACCGAAGTGTGCCTTTAACCTTTTTCCACATAGAGCATTATTTTGTCTGTGTTAATCAGCTTCTTAGGGAATCAGGTTTATTCAAAATATAAGGCAGAGACTTCTGTGAGAAACAAAAACATTGTGTCTCAGAGAAGTATCAAATAAACAATTCCCATTTGTCCTCAAGTTAATTTGGAAGATGAGGATATGTAGCAGAGAACATGTCAAATTCTAATGTAGGCCCTTGGGAAAGTTATGTTACATTAACCCAACTCCATCTGCAGTTGGGAACTTGAGAGCAGCAGCAAAAATGGTCAACTAGCTTCCAGCTGAGTAAGCACACATTTAATACAACAGCTTGTTTTAATAAAGCATTGTTCTATGCTGTATTAAGGGCCTATACATAGTAAGCAGCAAAAAAAAAAAAAAAGCTGATAAAGATTTACTGTCAGAATTGAAAATCTGTATGTCTTATGCTGAAGCATCACAAATGAAGCAAAATACCAAGAGAGACTAAGAGTCTGCATATTCTACCTCTTAACCCATGTCTGAGGATAGAACTAAAATAGTAAATTAATTGAATTTATACTGATGATTAGATGTGAGGTTAAGGGCATATGAAACAGATGCAATTATATGGATATATTAAGATAAGTACTGTTATTTTGTGACACTTCAGTGTGTCCTGTGCTTTTCAGGACAGGTAAAGGGCATGTACCTTCTTCTCAAAAGAAGTTATAATCCATATTTGCACATGATTAAATAACTACATGGAGATGAGGAAAAAAAACATAGAGATAACAGGAATACGTGTAAATGTTAACTCAGAGAAATGCATGTACACAGAGTAAATGAATAACTTCTGTCTTTCATAAGAGATGTAAATGAAGGTCTAAAAAAAAATATTGAAAAAGTCTTTTGGATATATCCATATACAAGGAAGGTTGCAACAATATGAGAGCTGGCATTGCTGTTAAGTCAAGAATGCTTCTGAAGACATGCAATGGTTATTCTCATCAGCCTTGATGAGATGAACTTTATCGTAAGTGTATAACGTTAGCAGTCCTATCACAGTGGTATATATGTTGCACAGATGAGAGCTGCCATAAGACAAAATTCAATTTGGAGAAAGGCTTCTTAGTGTCAGATCAGACAGTAGCAGGTTCCAGCCCCATTAGGTGGCTGTGGTGGCCATGAGATGTTAAAACACTGGCACAGACTGTATGTCACATATCCATTTTTACTTTTTACTCATTTTTGCATTCGGGCTTCCAACACTGACATCCTCAGCCCTTTCTAGTCCTCTGTCCTGTCTGAATTTGTAGCTGCAGTAGAGCAATCCACTTGATGTCTTGTTCCCAAGACACATTGTCTCTGTCCACCTATACCGTCCATCTATGTTTAAACGGCAAAGAGTCTTCCCCAGATTTTTGTACATCATTTCAATTTTAAGTCCATCTGCATTTTTTTTTCTCAAGTAAAACATAGAAATGACAGTGTGACTCTTTCGGGGAGGGGCTCTGCAGAACTGCATGATACAGTGATTATGAAAGGAGGAACTTGCACCAAAGCACAGCCTCTAACAAAGCGCCACCATCTGTGTCGCAACAAATGTTCCCCTCATTGATGCCTCACTTGGGTTCAGATATGAAGATGAATAACCATTATTTATCCTGCAGTGTAGCTGCAAATCTGGAATTGCATAATTAGTATATTGTAGCCACCCTAGCGTATGGGGCCTTCTGTTGGATTTTATGAACTGAAGAGGGCTGGGTCTGGCTGATAATTTGGGAAAGGGATGACAGGGGAAACCCCTAGCCCGGCAGGAACTGGTGTTTGTAAAACAATAGCTGGAACTCTGAATCACTGCTAAAGCAATATTCAAACATGAGTATCACAGGACACACTGTACTGCAAAAAGAGCCAGCTCCTGGATAAGTTGCACACATGGAGACCTAAGAAATGTTCAATTCCACACAAAAATTAAGAATCCTTCTATGCGTATTTCAGGAATTAGATCAATACCCCCGGGGTGGTTTTAAATTTGGTAATTATATTTTGTTAGACTCCAGCAATTTTAATTGGATCTTAGCCCATTCTTCACTTTACTGTCTTCCACAGTGGAAGCAGTACTTCCATAAGACTGCACCTTGAGCACTATGTTGTCAGCAACTGCGAGGCAATGCAACAGCACTATTAACTAAAAATTCCCAGTATTCATTTACAGTATAGCAAATGAATGCTTTAGTTCCTAACTTAAGCCTTATTATCATGCAGAAATTTGAAAAGCCAGATAAATATGAAGAAATCAAGTCTAAGAGCTGCCGCATTTATTGAAATTCCATTAAGGGAATAATCTATTTGAAGGAGGGAGGCAGACAGTCTGATTACACATGCAGTGTGATCACAAAGCCAGCAGAAAAAGAAAGAAAAAAATGAGCTCACCTGTCTGCCTAGGGCCAATCTTTCTGTTTTTTAACGCAGTTCTTGGTCTTACTACCTGAATGAAGTCATACTTGGAGAGAGCATGTCCGTCAGGTCAGAGCAGTAGACAGAAGACTGCCTCTTCTCTCTTGCCACAGAAGGTTTTGCATTTCAGGAGTTGCTAGAATAATCCCTGCAGAAGGTAAACAAGACTCTGTTCAGCTAAAAATAATTGAATTTAAGATTTTAAGGAATACTGAGAACTGCAAAGCACTTCAGGTGAAAAGCGCAGTTTTGGGGAAAGATACTATTTGTTGCAGGGTTTTAAAAATGAAAATATGAACTGAGTCAAACTATTCCAAAGCCTGGATATTTTATGCACAATTAGCTTAATAAATGGAAAAATGTAGAAATCCAGTACTTCTAGAACATTATAAAAATGGTATGACATAGGAGATTGATTTCCAGAACTCCCAAGGGTCTTGCTCTCTTCTCTCGAGGCACATGTCTAGGCAACAAGGAGACAATATACACGCCAATATAAAGTATACGATCACAACCTTCTGAATTACAGCCCCCTAATTAGCATCCCTGTGTCAATTATCCCATTCAGGATGTCAAATATTTCACAAGGATTAAATTTCAAAATACTCAGAGATTCTGATACATAAAATCCCAAATGGCTGCTCAATGTATATTAATGTTATTGTATCACATATAACAGGTAAAAGATTAAAAAGCCTTTCACACACTTCTACAATGGCAAAGGTACTACAGTTGCATCTGTACACTTCACTTCTGGGGATACCCACTGTTCAAAAAGGGGAGAAAAAAATGTTTCATTCAAGCATTTTCCTTTTCAAAATAGTAACAATGTTGTAATTCAATATCCACACTGAACCTCTCTGACCCCTGAATCCAAAACTGCATGGTAGAGGAGAGGAGAGGAGAGAGTGGGCTCTGCCATGCCAACGTCATAACAACCTTTTCTTCATGGCTTGTGCCTCACTATCAGCAGGCAAAGAATGCACACGTGTGCAGCCACATCATAAATGTATCAATTTAGAAGTGTTTGGGCTTCCAGATTAAATCAAACTTCCTCTAAGAAATCTGGCTTTCTCAATACGCATTAATATTCCAGTTTTAAAACAAACTTGGGCTCAGTCTATTATAGGATGTAGATATCCAGGTGAGAAAAAATAACCTTGGGCTGATCCATCAGGGCAGAAACACACAATTACATTAAAATCCCTGTGTAGTCCCCAGCCTGAATTGTTTGCAGGGGGAAGATGAATGAATGAATCAAGATTTAAATTATTTTACGTTTAAGGCAGCTTTTATGGTTCACAAATTGAAATCTTTTAAAGTTTAGTGTCTAGTTTAAGTTATTAACCTTTCCTTTAGTTACCACTTTTTCACTGTCTCTTTTCCACAGATGTCTCAACCAAAAGGCAGTCGCATAAAAATGCTTTAATGAGCAAATTTACTGACTGAAACCAGAACAAAGAACCTTAATTGACTATTGAAGAAAATGCACAGAAAACAACTCTTAAGTTCAGAATTGTAAATATTATGTCAGAAACAGAGCCTTCACAATGACGCTTCTCTATTTTAGATAGAAGCAAGAACTAGCAAGCCTAATCGGCTCAAATTTTGTCAGTAGACCACACAATAAACTACTCTTGAGCAAGCAGCAACCCAAAAATTAGTCCCAGAAATGATTGAGGAAATAATTTCAAATATCAAAGGGAAGAGGACTGTGTTTGGCTGGAAAGAGGCAAAATGTATCAAATAAATTATTTGTTTCAAAAAAAATAACCAGAGTACTAACCAAGGGATTGCTTCTTGTACTTCATGTGTGTTGCAATGGTACATGACGTGATTGAAGGTATCAAATCAGAAAGAAACACATTTTAATAAAATAAAAAGGTCTAAACTACAGTGGCTCTTAAGATCTCAGGCCAGCCTTGAGGAAGAAAGGGGGAGGTGGGTGGGGAAGAAAAAAGAAAAAAGAGAAAAGAAAAAAAAAACAGAAAAATGTCAATGAAACCACAATGCCTCAAGCAGCTTTACACATTCATAAACTACATTTTATCAAGCAATTTCAATGGCATTTTCAAAGTCTAGTAGTCAAGCTCCTGCTGTCAATTCTCTCTGTAAGTGGGAATTCGCTTTATCCCACTTCTGTGGAAGCTGTGATCCACTGAAGACAGAGAATCTTTTATTAGACACATGCACAGTGAGAAGTGAAGGGGGACTCCTCCCTGTCCTCTTACCTCAAATCAGACAGTGAACGCAGTACTAATACAAATAATAAGTAACCACTGGCAATAAAATATTTCCCCATAAAAACGCATCAAATTTCCAGTTATCTTTTTCTTATATTTGCTTTTTCATATCAACTGTAGTAACAAGAGCAATTTGTATCACTTTCACCCTATCCCATCCTTTTAATTTTTGCCTAAATTCATTGATTCATCAGAGTGTGATACTCTTTAATAAACCAATCTAATTTCCACCTCCTACAGCTCTCCCCCGCAATCCCATCTTTCACGTGTTTCAGCTTTACTTTGAAGTGACTTCCTTGCCTGGCATGCTAAAATCCAGGAACAAAGTGCCTATCATTATGACTGCAGTTCATGCCCTGACTAGCCACAGCAGCAGCAGAATTAGACTATAATCTCCTAAACAATGTAGAATCTGTAAATCAAAACCAACCGGCTCCATTTGGTGTGTAGATCACTGAACCTGTGGGACTATGAAAATCAAAATCACTTTTCTAAGGTGAAATAAACCTTAGCATATGGATTTGTTCAGCTTGGATTCTTTCTCTCCTTATCCCCAAAAGCTATTCCATCCTAAAAAACAGCAACTTTTTCTGAACCAGAGGGCAAAATAGGCACACGTGAACATAAGCATACAGGCAGTACAGAGATTAAAAACAACCTACCTTCAGTACTGCCCCGCCTAGCCTTCTTGATGGTAAGGATGTTTGTGTTTCTTTGCTCTAAATATAAAAACAAACAACAGTGGCTGCTCTAATCAAAGCAGTAATTACATGTTGCCCAAAAAATGTACAATGCATCAAGACACTTAGATAGAGCCTAGAGTTATTTCACTGATGAAACACTAACTACCCATAGCACATGCAGAAAACATTCAGAGAGAGTCAGAGAAATGGAGTTGTGCCTGATGGAGTAACATAAAATTTCTTGGCACAGAACAGTAATTTCCACAACACAGCACACAGGGGGTTTCTACTTGCACAAATTAAGCCCCCGCATGCTGACTGATGTGTCATCATGCACAGAATTTAACTGGGTTAGCCCAAGTCTCACGTAAGTCACTGACCGCTTTACATTGTAAGTTACTTGAAACTTCACAGGTGTACAGAGCTCTCTTCCAACAACGCAAATGGACCTAAATGTAATCCTCCAAAGATGAGTGAATAAGATCGATTTTTTCTTTATCTGTCCTAAAGAAAAGCATCAAATAGACAGCTTATAGAAAATAATTATAGAGTTTTTCCACCTAGTCTTCTTCAGTTTCTCAGCTTTGATTCTCTCAGGTTCACACTTTTCAGGGTTTTTTTCCTTTTTTTTTTTTTTCCCTTGGAAGCTCATGAAATTCTCCAGAAATGGGGGAAGGCGGCAGAGGCCTATCTGCTGACCACATACTTCCAATATATGATTCCTAAGGCTTCCTCTTAGTGATATTTCCGAAGTGGAAAGTCAATAACTATCATAAACAAAAAATCTGTAATCCTAACTCCTCCTTCCACTCAATTTTTCATGCCAGTGTGGACCAGTGTGGAAAGAGAGGGCCTCCAGAGTATCAGCTTCGGTAGACGAGGACATGCAGGATAGTGTGAAACAGTTGGAAGGCCAGATTTAAACATGTAACCTGAAACACTGGAAACCAGAACTCACAGTGGGGCTTAGCAACAAAATCAACAATATAGGCATGGCGTGACATGTGATCACCAAAGCAGAGGCAAGGTTGCTTAAATATAGCCTCTGTAGGTATTAGAATATTTCTGAGAAGTACACATCAAGCACGAGACAGATGCTACTAATAAGTAGAGCTTTAGACATTTATTTTTGTATTTAAATATCCAGCTATATTTATCTGAAAGATTTAACCACACCATTCTTGACCGAAAGGTATGCCAGTTACTTACTGCTGTCTAGACAAAAAGATTTAAAACTGCAAAAGATAAAACCTTTACAAAAAGAATATGGAAAAGTGCTTTAAGAGACCATGAGAAGGATAGGTTCTCTATGCTTTAGTCTTCAGAGCTTTGGCTTCAAGAGCTTTGTCTATTGAGGAACTCAATATATTAATTTCTTTGTAAAGAGTTTCCTTTTGCTTTTTCTTCAATCTAAATTGTTTGTGCATGGGGGAGATGCCAATAAGTTATAAAAATTCTGGAAAGCTGGAAAAGATCAAATCATCCTCTAAGTATAAGTACTGTCTGATGATCACCTGGCATCGTTGGAGTTGTGATTGCACTGTGGTGAAACACTTCAAACTAGAACATAAAGATATGAATCATCTACAGTGAGTAAGCTGTCCCACTTCCAAAATTCTTGAAAAAAAATCCAAACTATCTGGACACTCACTCTAAGTGTTTGGACAGCTTCAAATGATCCTGTGATCTCAGTGAAGAAATTGCTCTTGAAATGAGTTACACATTTCACCTCTATTTTTAGCATAACCATAAACCAGACCTGCTAAACAGAGGTTTCCCAATCTCTGCTACAGTAATTTGGTACCATGTGGTGCATAAAACTGGAAGGAAGCAGCATACAAAAGACTTACCACAAATATAAAGGAGCAGAGAGGTCTGAAGCGTTCCCCTAAATGCTACATATTCAGAAATACTTATATTTCTGTATAGGGCAAATATTTCTGTACCACTGCTTCCTTGAAGCATTTAATTCCTGGCCTAAACAGATGAGAAAATGAGAGCAGTTCACATGTAACACTTCAGAACATCAAGTCCCTTCCAAAAGAGAGATTTCTGGGTAGGCACAGGAATAGAATTTGTACAATTTGCTCCTTGGCCTCTTGGTCTCTCCATTTACATTGCACAAAAGATATCCTGAGAGAATAACGTATGACATAGCCCAGATGGTAAAAAGCAAGTGTTCACTTTGTGCAACTAATTTCTACCATTATGCTGGGAAGGATACTGAGCTTCAGGTCATAGGCACAATGCACAATGCCAAAGTATGCAGTGCTCTGCAAGTGTCTCTTATAGCCACCTGCTTCTGAGGCTGATGCAGCCAGACACAGCAGGAGTATGTATTAATATGGCAAGAGTCGGTCCTTTTTTTTTCCAAAATTTTCCATAGGCCACTGAGCAAGATTTGATTTTACCGAATATTCACATTCAACTCATTTCAGAAGTTTTAATTTCTTTTACTATACTTGTACTAACCTGAAATACTGATGTTAAAATACTTCCAGGTACAAGTTGATTTAAATTCAGCAAAAGAATGAACACAGCAAGAACGTCAAACAACTTCCCCTAATGTAGCCCTTAATGCAGGTTAGCATTGCTCTTGCTAAGAATATTTCCTGTAACACAATAACCCTCCTCATGGAATTAGGCGCTATTCAAGATAAGAAAAGATTGCAAAACCTATTCCTGTCTTGATATAAAATTATGTAGAGTAGATCTGCAAGAGACATGAAAAGGTCTTCTGGTTTGTCCTCAGGCAGAATCAATATTTGTCTCCCTTATGACAGATGTACATTCTTAATGATAGTGACTTCACTGTATCCCCAGGTTTCACTATGTTTATGTTTAGAAAGGTTTTCCTAATAACTATTCTGACTCTCTAGGGTAACTCAACTTATTGTTTCTTAACATGTCTGCCATGGCCACAGAGGATATATTACTCCCTCTTTACAACAGGGTGGGTTTTGTTTTTTACATCTTAACTATTGCCCTTACCCTTCCGTCTTTTTTTGAGAGCATAATAACTCAAATTTTGACAAGTTCTCCTTACCACAGTGATACAGCCAAAGTGCTTGACCACCTGATCCAAGCTGAGTCCTTATTCAACAAAAGCACCAGAAGATTAATTCTGCAGGCTGCATTCTAGCTTTTGTGTTCATACTAGTTGGACACTTAGCTTTTTAATAATTCATCAACTTGTGTTTAATTTGATTTAGTTTAATTTCCAGATCTTTCCCAATGAGAACTGCCCTCTATGGTGTTACCCCAGGCATGTCCAACCTGCAGCCTGGCAGAGCTTGCACTGCAACTGCCCCCTATTCCACAGTGGGAAAGGGTGGGAAAGGCTCTTTCCCACCGAGCAGCCCAGCCTGGCCCTGGGCATACACTCATCATTCAGTAAGTCAGTGTGCTATTAGAGCTGTCTGGGCTGAAAAAAGAACACAGGAAGGGCTCAGTGCAGTGCTAACTCAAGTTATGGCAAATGATTGTATGCATTGTACGCATTGGCTAAACACAGCCCTGTGAACAGCAAAAAACATGCAGCCAGGATTTCCATTCTTACAAAGGAATTTGAGGTTATGTTTCAAGATTACTGGAAAAAATAATATATATTTTTTTTTATTTGTGGTTTTCTTTTCAGTTGACATAAATATCCTGCAGATTTTCAAATGGAATGCATTACATTGCAATCATCAATTCAAAGCAAATTTGATCATGTCTCTTTACCAGATTTTCATCAACCTCTCTTACCAGAGAAAAACATCCCTCACTTCACAGTCATGCCTTATTCATGTCCTTGCTTTCTCATACTGTGTACATTTGTGAACAACTATTTTGAAGGATGAAGCGAAGAGTAAAATTTCATCAAAAAATCTCTGATGAACTCCTTGAGAGCTCGCAAAGAATTGCAGCCACTGCCATTGTACCTGACTGAACCAGTTTCACAAAAACAAGGTCAAATATCCCTCTGGTTTTATGGGTTTTGTTGCTCTCTTTTCGTTTAAATGCTTTTGTAAAACTATTACCAGTTAAAATAAGTTTCATTACTTATATACATCAGCTATACTGTATATTTTTTGAGGACTGCTCCAAAAGTAATGTCTCCTATTTCATTATGTTGGCCCGTGATATCAGATGTGGATGTTGGTCATACAGTAGAGGCTGAACCATCCTGACAATATCCCATTATATTTTGTTGCCATGTGATAAATGGCAGCAGAGAGGCAGTCTGACAAAATGGCATCTGACATGGAAGCCATGGAAGAAAAGGTATGACATTGAATTCTTCCATGTGGAAAATATTGACATTCATTGACATTTGGTGAACTTTTATAGACACCAAACAGTGGATGTGAGCACCATGAGGCCATGGGTGGCACGTTTCAGCAGTGATGAAAGTAAGTGTGGATCACCTTCAGTGGTGCAGGTTTTGATGAGTATGGATGGCATGTGGGCTCTTGTTTATAATTGGAAAAAATGCATAGCTAATGGTGGTGACTATGTTGAAAAGTGTTTTGTAGCTAAGAATTTGCTCTCTCAAACAGAGAAACTGTGCTCACTGTATCTGTTATAGCTTCCATGGAAATAATTAGGAGGCATTATTTTAGGAGTGCCCTATATATAAGCAGCTCAAGGCAAATCCTGTTCACACAGTGGGGCCTAGGCAAGCCAGAAAGTTGGACATCCATGTGTTACCCTATCCTGTATTTGTGCAATCAATTATTTCTGCCTACCACTTTGCATTTGTCCCTACTGGACTTAATCCTGTTGTTGTTGTTTTTTTTTCAGAGATCTCTCCAATTTGTCAAGACCATTTGGGATTCTAATTCTGCTTCCCACATGTTCAGAATCCCCCATCTCCTGTCATATGCAAATTTATTGCATATCATATTATTCTCTCATCCAGATAATCCATGAGAATATTTAAAAGCATTTAATCAAGATCAACTCCCAATAGAAAATTTGCAATACATTCAATTAAACAATAAGTTAGGCAAATATTCTCCGAGATTCACTTTTCATTCAGCTTCACATTTACTCTGAAGATTGAACAAGATTGTTTCTTTAGCTTTCCTATGAGAATATCATTCAAGAGAGTGCCAAGTCATAAGTAATACTGGAGCAGTGTGTCCCCCGTATTTGTGAACTTGTTACCTTGTTATAGCAGGAAGTTAGTTCACTTTGTCATAATTTCCTCCTGTCAAATTATTAGCTATTCCCTCTCTGCATGCTGTGTTCTAGCTGCCTATGAATATACGGGCTATTCATGTCACAATTTTTCTGAGACATTTTGGTGATTTTATCATACAGTATGCAACTGAAAATCAGGATTCTCAAGGTGCAATTTAATTTTATGAAAAAAAAAAAAAAAAAAAAAAAGTACTTTTGAATCCCTTACATCAAAACATATTCCTAAATATCACCATTGAAGAAGGTAACATCTTTAACAACAGCATCTGTTACAGCATCTGTAACAAGTCTTGAGTGAGTACAGAACTGCATATCATGCATAAATGGTGTATCTCATTGATCAGCACTAGTAGAAACATCTCTCTGTGCTGCTGATTTATGCCACAATGTGTCATTCATTGAAATAAAGGCCCCCATAAAGTGTATGGATATCATGAGGTAGTGAATCAATTGTGCTCATTCAGATCACACTCAAAGCACTTATGTCATATTGTTGACTCTTCAACCACCTGCTCTTGTCAAGGAGGTCTGGCACACAGGCTTTGAAGCATTCTTGATTTGCTCCAGTCATGCCATGTTCTGGTTATTAAAAAAAAAAATCTGTTGTCATCATTTTTATATAGATATCCTTTGAATAGCCAGCAGTATCTGTAGAAGTGCATAAATGGGATGGGAAGGGTGCAGCAGACACATGGTCTCTATAGAGGAATATATGTTTTGTGCATCAGTCAGATGATATAGGCTATCTAAATATACATTTGTCAAATTAAAATCCAGTTAAAAGTGAAGTAGCACAACATCTCTGACCAGACTTTTTACTAAGATATGTGATCTATTTTTCAGCTGAAGTGAAGTCAAGTGGAAGAATAGGAGGCACTCTGAGATCAGAATCCAACAGAATTACCCTTGAAAATAAAGATGTTGAATCGTTAGACTATGCAAAAAACAGACACCTTAAACCAGGACAACTAATCCTGGTCAACTCTCCAGAACCCCATTAATCCTAACAATCGCTGGAGTAACCCTTTGCCCAGGTGTGGGCTTTCTCTGCTTTTAATAGGGGAAACAAGAGAAAAAGTGAACTGTTCATAAAAAGTCACATGAGAATAAAGATGAATTTGTAGATCACTTTTTCAATTAGCAAGATTCAACAAAGAATAACAATTAATCAAGACAAACCCTGTTCATGCAGTGAGGCCCAGGCAAGCCAAAAAAAAGTTTGACACCCATGATCAAGTTCAAGTCCTCTGCTATGAGCAGGATTGCCATTCACCAGGTCAGGTTGCCCAGGGCCCCACCTGACTCAGCCATGAACACTTCGGGAATGGGGAATCCACAGCTTTTCTGGGCAGCATGTTCCTCTTGTTCACCACCCTCACTCTGAAGAATTTTCTCCTATTATCTAATTAAATCACCCCTCTTTCAGTTTGAAAATTTTTCCCCTTGCCCTTTAACTATCAGATCACATAATGTGTTGGTTTCCATCTTGTTTAAGAGCTGCATTTAGTTTCTGGAAGGTCACTTCACTCCTTCTGAAGACCTTACAGAACTTTCTCTTCCGTAAGTTTAACAAGACCAGCTCCCTCAGCCTCTCTTCATAGAAGTGGTGATAATCATCCTTTGACCTCCTCTCGTCCTACTGTAAAACAATCCCACTTCTGATGATATTTTATGCTTTGTCTGCAAGGAATTATTCATCAATGGCGTTATGCTCTTCCTAATTTATCCAGAACTGCCAAATTTCTTTCCCCCAAGAATCTCATTCATTCTGGATTAAAAGTACTTTATGTAGAAATATTTTTCTACCTGAAAACATTTACCTAGAAACATTTTTCTTCCTGAATTCACAGAAGCAGAAAAAGGCGGAAAAAGCAGAAAAATACAGAGTAAGAGAAAATATACTGAAGGCTGAGATCAAACCTGTCTACTTGTGCTATTGTTTTACTAGACGTATATGAATTTCCAAATTCAATAAACATGGAACAGAAGCAAGTAAAGCTCTTAAACCTTGAATCAAAACTACTGAGGTATTTTAGGGATGTTCAAAGTATACATGACTTTGGGGACTGTTAATTCTTCTATTCCAGAACAGAAGAAGTTATCCTTTCTGGAAAAGAAATGACACAAAAAACCTTAGCGCAACTACTAGTCCTGAGGATAACAGGCAAATGTCTTTCCACTTAGCCATGATTAATTAATATGGCTAATATTCCAGCATGTCTAATAAAATTCAGCAACTAGCACCACTAGGAAGTTGTAACCAGGAAATTTATTGCCATTCCTTCTCTCTCTCTATTACCTCATTGCAGACTTCCTGTAAAATGATGAGATGCAGTGGTCTGCATGAACTATCTGAAGATGCTATACCACTGAAAGATAAATGGGAAAGAATTGACAGGTAACGAAGGACATACCTACTTTCTTATTAAGCACCTGCTACTATTAGAATGGAATAAGGCAACGGCTTTCTTTCCTTCGCACATCAAAACATACACTTGCAGGCAATTTCCTGGAATGGCACTTTTAACTAATGGGAAGGTATATTATAGGACAGAGAGGGAAACTATAAATGATAACAAGGTTTAAATTCACTGGCTCAGGATACCCCATAACCTGTTGGTAATCTAGTCACTCTGAGGAAATGGTGGCAAGATGATAATTACTAAACTGTTCCTCCAAAGGAGACACTATATGGTATACTCTAAGTAGAAATAAAAAAATACTATCTTTTTAGTATTTTCATCATACATTGTTAAGTCACTGCACTCCTATGCTCCATTCACTGTAATGAAGCTCGAAGTTGTATCTAAGTGGGCAACACTTAACAGTGCATGTGCTTAGAGGAGTTTATCACAGCACAGATATCACTAGTTCCTGCTATATTCCAAATAACCTAACAAGAAAGAACACAGTGGTGAGAATAATATCAGAACTGCAAAGAAATTTCCATGAGATTGATGCATTTGTTTCCATTGATTTCAGCAGGCAGTAAGACAGGCTCCAGGCAACGTTATTGAACAGCAAAATTCCATCATTACTGATGAACATTCCAACAGGTTTTCCAACAGTAGAAAAGGAAGGACCGTATAAAAGAACACCACAAATCATTTCAGGTCTCAACATGTTCTGGACCCATACGTCATCAAACGACATGGAAATACAGTGCTTATCACCTTCTTCCAGTGCTTCTTAATGTCAATGGAGTGTCAACCAAATAACATACATTTTAAGTGCAAATTTATTGAAGGCTTTTACCACAGTGAAAGCATTGTAAATACCTTTCTTTCTAAATGAAAGAAAATATTAAAGAATAAATGAAAGAAAATATTAGGCAGATTATTAATATAGGCCAGTATTTCTCAGAATGCACATTCCAAATATAATGTAGAACTGCATGAAGCTCAAGTCTTGTGTGTTTTTTAATGATTTTTTATTTCCAACTATAAAAAGAGCAATGCAACTGGGTCATACCAGTTTTAAATAGCAAATCACAGTCCAGTGATAAAGGCTGCTATACCTTAGGCTGTTAAAATTTGTCCAGAGTGAAAGCATGGTATGGTGTGTCAGAAAACTGGGAAAGTTCTACTTCACAGGCATCTATCTACACAATGGAAGATTTTATTGCCTTCAGTGAATACGTGGGTTGTTAGCACAAATCTCTTTGCCTGCTGTTATGTGAAGACACCTGCAAACAATGAGGTAAAAACAATGCAAGGATACTCAGGCTTTGAGCACATACAGATGCCTGAGCTTTGTCTGCCTTCCAGTGGAATGCCCCAAGTCCTCTCCATTGTGAATCCCTCAGTCACTTTTCATTCCGTCTGGATCACTGTTCCTTACCCTTAGCCAAATTTAAGTAACTTTAGCCCAGAACATGAATTGCCTTTCTGGCAAGATCAAAATTATTCTCAATATTTCTGGTTCTTCTTATTTCTTTGCATGAGAAGAAAGGAAAGGAAAGGAAAGGAAAGGAAAGGAAAGGAAAGGAAAGGAAAGGA